TCCACAGAGGAATAACTGAGTCTCTCATTTGTACCTCAATCATGGTCTGGTTTGGCACAGTAACCTAACAGGACAGGTGCAGACTTCAATGGATAGTTAGGACTGCAGGAAGAACAATCACAACCAGCCTGCCTTCCATTGAGGACCGGTATACTGCGTGGGTCAGAAAGGGGGCTGAGAAAGTATCTATAGATCCCTCACATCCTGGACATAATCTATTTCAACTTCTCTCCTGGGGATGGCGCTAGAGGGCATTGCATGCCCAAACTACGAGAACCAAAGGTAGTTCCCCCACCCCACCCCGTGCCATCACTCTGCTGAACGCCTAGTTCAGTAGTGGCGAAGCTGTGGCACGGGTTCCAGAGGCGGCACTCACAGCCCTCTCTGTGGGCACGCGCGCCGTCGCCCCAGTCCTAGGCCTTCAGCTGGTTTTATAAAACCTTTTCGCTTTAGGCCTCCGCCGCCGTGCGCAAAAAAAAAAGGTTCAATCATTCAGTCAATTTCAACTTCTCGCGGGAAAAAAAAAGATCTTGCAAAGTTGGAATTGATTGAACTTTTTAGTCCCACCCAGCCTGCCGTTACCACCGCAGCCATGTCCACCGAATGGGCCACACCCACCCAATGGGCCATGCCCACCCGGCACCCGACAATGCATAAGTGGGTTTTGGGTTGCAGTTTGGGCACTCGGTCTCTAAAAGGTTTGCCATCACTGGCCTAGTTCCACTGCCTTATGATGAAGGATATCTACCCATGTAGTAGGGCTAGTCCTCGACTTACCCCAGTTCATTTAGTGAACGTTCAAAGTTACAACGGCACTGAAAATAGTGACTTATGACCGTTTTCCACGCTTAGGACCGTTGCAGCATCTCTGTGCTCATGTGATCAAAATTCAAGGGCTGGGCAATTGGTTCATATTTATGACGGTGGCAGGGTTCCAGAGTCATGTGATCACTTTTTGTGGCCTTCTGACTAGCAAAGTCAATGGGCTCAATTCTGGTCATAAGCCGAGGACCACCTGTATTACTATGATCGTTCTCATCTCTCCTATTCACCTCTCCTATTGGTATCTTATGATTATATTACTTTGATGTTGGTGTATACACTGAGAAAAGTTTCTGCACCGGAGACAAATTCCTTGTGTGTCCATCAGACTTGGCCAATAAAGGATTCTCTTCTATTATTTACTGTTTTTGCCATAACGTGCTTGTC